TGACAAAGCCATCCTATACTCAAGAGGAGCCCGCCCTGTCCCCCGAGAACATTCCTGTCCCCAACGCCGAACGAACCCCCGGGCCCCCAAGAGCATTGGCCTAACGGATCAGGGAGTGCACAACAGTGCTCGCTCCCCGTTGCCGACTATCCGCTGCCCCCGGAGATCAGAGGGCCCAACCCGACGACGGGACCAGGACCCGCAGGGTCCGCAACGCACTCCGCCAGGTATTGCCGTTCAGCAGCACTCGTGTAGAGGAATTAGACTACACGAGTTCTGCCTTGTGGACTTCATACAATCGGCTGCCTCACTAGGCTGACGAGGTCGACACACCGGGTTTGTTCTATGAGGTTCTTCCTTCTTCCTCGGTGGTCTGGGAAACCAGACTCACGAGCCTGAGCGCCCGACCGGTTTGTTCGCGAAGTTTTCCTCTCCGGTTTGGTCGCCCCAGGGCTAGCGAGTCCAAAACACCGCCCCGGGACTAACGAGTTCAAACCCCCGACTGGTTTTAAATTGGAGTTTTCCTCTCCGGTTCGGTTGCCATGCTACTAATGAGCCCAAACTCCCGGGTTTTTACTTTGGGTTTTCCTTCCCCTCGTTTGGTATCTGGTAAACCAGACTGACAGGCACAATCGCCCGGGTTTATTATTCGGGGTTCTTCTTCCCCTAGTGTCAGATGTCTGGACTGCCAGACTCACGAGACCGAACGCCCGGTTTTTGACAGGTTTTCTCTCTGTTGTGATCGCCCGAGGGCTAACGAGCTCACACGCCCGGGTTTTTGCATTGGGTTTTCCTTCCCCTGATTCAGTTGACTGGCACCGCCGGCCTAACGAGACCGATCGCCCGGGTTTGGTATTGGGGTTCTTCCTCCCCTGATAGTAGGTTGCTTGCTCACGAAATCAAGCTCTCGAGCCCTCGCCTGGGTTTGATAACGGAGTTTCCAATCTCCGGTGGTCATCACCGGAATAGGTTGCACAAGGCTAACGAGCCCACTATCTCGGGTTTTTACAGTGGGTGTCCTTCCCCTCGTCGTATTGTTTGGCAACCTCCCAAACTAACGAGTCCAATACCCGGGTTTTAATGGGTTTTCCATCCCTAGGTTTTTCTATTGGGTTTTCCTTCCCCTCGTTCGGATGTCTGAGAAAAATAGACTCACAGGCCCGATCGCCCGGGTTTATTAGTCAGGGTTCTTCCTTCCCTCTAGTTCAGGTGCCTGAACTGACAGGCTCACGAGCCCGAACGCCCGGTTTGGTCCAAAGTTTTCTCTCCGTTTCGGATGTCTGGACCGCCAGATTCACGAGCCCGAACGCCCAGTTTGTGCGGAGTTTTCTCTCCGGTGCAGATGCCCTCAGGCTAACGAGCCGCGCACCCGGGTTTGGTATTGGGGTTTTTCCTCCCCTAATAATAGGTTGCTTACCCACGAAGTCAAGCTCTCGAGCCCTCGCCCGGGTTTGATAACGGAGTTTCCAATTTCCGGAATAGGTTGCTCAAAGCTGACGAACCCACTAACCCGGGTTTTTACAGTGGGTTTTCCTTCCCCTCGTCGGGTTGTCTGGCAACCTCCCAGACTAACGAGTCCGATACCCGGGTTTTGCAAAGGGTTTTCCGTCCCTTCGTTGGGTGCCTGGAAAATAGGCTAACGAGCCCCATCGCCACGGGTTTTGTTATGGGTTTCCATCCGTTGTTCGGATGCCCCCCAAAAGCGAGGCTGACAAGCCCAAACGCCCGCGCTGAAGGGTCTTTCCTGCCGCTCAAGAGCAGCACTCCAGTCTCTTAATGCTTCAAGAGGCAGCTGCCCATCTCGGAGCATGTATTAGTCGCTCTTAGTAGCCACTCTCCTCGGTTCACCCTCGAACTTGGAATCCTGAGATTCCAAGTCGAGTCCATCCCCTTGGATCATTGTGGCTGTCAAGCTTCTACACCACGACAAGGTGGCGACCATCGCAGAAGAGTCAAGGGGCGGCCGACAGGGGAACCTGCCAATTCCCGCTCCGCAGGTCTAGCGTTGACAAATATTGAGCCCCTCGGAGTTTGTCGAGGGTGGCGGCGACCTGCGGTAACGAGTAGGCGTCGGGCTCTGAGACGCTATTTAGTTTGCGGAAATCTACGCAAAACCTTCGTGGTCCGTCTTTTTTCCGCACCACGACCACCGGCAAGCTCTACGCGCTGTTCGATCACGTGTTCCTGCAGCATTTTTTCGACCTCCTCGTCGATCACGCGCTGCATAGCGGGGTTTCGAGGCCGATACTGTTTAATGGGGCACGGGTCAGTCAGTTGTATGTGGTGGTATGCCCGGTCCGTCGGTCCTTGCACCTTCTCGAAGAGGCGGAATTCCCGTTCCAGAAACTGTCGTAGTCGCGAGGTCTCGTCTGGGGTCCGCGGAGTCAGTCCGTCCTCGATCGTATAAGTAGTCGGTTCGGTCATTGTCGCGTTATCCGGTGGTGGTGGTAGTGTCATCTGTAGTTTGGTCCACAAGTCCACTCCAATCAACATCGGGCTGCCGAAATTCGGCAGGACTCGTAGGCCGTGTCTAACGTCTCTGTCCTCTGTTTATATGCGTACCGTCGTTGTCCCGGCAGTCTGTATCAATGTCCCGTCAGCCAGTCGTATTGATTTGGGTCGCTTCGATTTCCAAATCGGGGCCCCCGATTGCTGGGCAATGTCGGGATGTATAAACGAGGCCTCCGATCAAGAATCGAGGAGCGCGTCGACGTCATGTCCATTGAGTCGTACGGTTATGTAGGGGCGCGGTGTGAATCTTACGTGTTGTTTGCTCAGGGCCGAGACTCTAAGCGGCAAGTCTCGGCCCTTCGGTCGTTTCCCTACAGCAAGTGGCACTCCCGAGTCAGCACCCCGTCTTTTCCGCATTAAGAGCAGAATTTCTTCGGGGGGCGTTTACAGTCCGCCCGGGTGTGCCTCCGCTGTTTGCACCGCCAGCAACATTCTTCTTTGTTGTACGTGCTGACGGTGGTTGGTGCAACGCGTGACGGTCGAGGAGGTCGGTCTGTTGCGTTGTCTTGCCGGCGGTTGCGTATCCGTTGCTCGATATCCTCATGTTCCGCAGCCCCCCGTGCGCGGAGATCCCCGATGCTCGCGATGTCGTCAATGCGAATGCCCCTTTTATATTCTAGGTGCATATTCTCATATAGCAGTTCGAGCTGCTCCTCGGGATTCCATTCGCCCGCGCGCCGCAGGCGTTGAGCGTTAATACCTCGTTGGAGAATGCACGAAATGGTTCCCCTTCCTTCTGTACACGGCTCCACGTTTCGCGGCGGAATTGCGCTAACACTTTCCGTGCTAGATAGTCCACGTGAAATTCCCTTCGGAAGTCTTCCACGTTGCCCACGTATGCCGACTGAGACGATACTACGCGAGTACCTCGCCCCGTAGCATCTCTGGCAAACTTCGGAGTAAGTATTCTCCCGCGTAACCATAAACTTCGCTTAATTCTTCGACCCGCTCTAAAAACTCGTGAGGGTTTCGTCCGTCGAAGAAGCAGCCCCATTTCCGAATTTGGTTCATCGCCTTTGCTAACGGGAGTTCGGGCCCCTCGGGTGGTATGGACAGCTCGGGTGTCTCGTCGCGGACTTCCACGGTCCCTTCGTCGGTCTTCGATACGAGGTTCGCCGCCCCGTTATCGTCCGCGAACGACTCCGGATGTCTTCGCACGAACTGAGCGAGCCGCCTTCGTAATTCTTCGTATGTCCCGTCAGTGCAATTCGTGACGGGATAGCTGCTCGGTCAGTTCCTGCTTTGAGAGCTTGTACACCCACGCCATCGCGATCGGGCCTGTAATTATCCCTGCCGCTTTTCTCCTCGCAATGTCCTTTGTTCGGACGCCAAATGTAACAACTGAACTCCGCGTTTCGGTCATTACTACGCGTTTTGCGCAGATAAGGCTCGTCGGAGTCCGGGTTCGGTGAGGAAGAAAGCAGCGAGACGATTGATAGTAACAAAATATATAAATTAGCTTTATTCGATACTTAGTTATGTACAAGAGCTCGGCCGCGAAGGCGTTGTCGCGGGTTGCGTTTATTAGGCGCGTCGGTACGGTACGGTGAGGTGCGGTGTGCGGTACACGCGCGTGTACGGACGGATAGGCCGCGCGGGAGGCGCGACGCGTGTAGACGGCGACGACGGTAACGGCGCGATGATCGGTCTCGCCTCGCGACGCTGGGCGTCTCGGACGATTATCGCTCAATACTCGGCTCGCAATCGCGGGTCGCGAAAGACGCAGAAGGATTTCGTCCGTCAGGGCCGAGGACTATCGACAGAGAAGGCGCACGCACCTTCCCTTTTCCCTACGTTCGCGGCGGAAAGCGACCAAGTGCTGCGGACACTCAACGGAGACGACGGACGCACTGTCCTGGGTCCTTAGTCGCTAGACGGATCGCCCAGAGGCTGAGTACGCTCAGCGGAGTTCACCGACGGACGAACCCCTGACTCAGGGCGGCGAGTAAAGGCTAAAGACTGCCGAGTACGCTCGACTGAGCACGCGCACGCACGAGCCCAGGAAGACGGGAGACGGCCAAGTATCGAGCACGCTCGATTGAGACTGCGAACGCATAATCCAGTCTGCTTAGTCGCCGGTCGGGAAGTCGGAAAGCGGAAAGCAGAGCGAAACGGTCCGGATATTCTCACTATCGACATAAAGCGTCTAGATCGAACGACGGTACGGATCGGTCTGGTGCTCAGAAGCTCGATCGCCGCCGTTTTATAGTCATATTCTCTACGATTGATACGGCAGCGATCGAGCGGCGCGCCAATCGGCGCGAGGCACGGCGACGGCGCGTGATAGCGACTGCGCGCGATAATTGCGATCGTTTATGGGTGGCGCAAAGCGCTGTTCTTCGGCCCGATAGATGGTCGGTTGGGCCGGTAATAACGAGGTGCATTCGCGTCTCGTTACAAATATTAAACTAATGCTATTACTCGAATGACTTGACAGATCGAAATAAAATTTAACATGGGTTTATATCACTTTCCAATACAAATATAGTTTGACAGTTTCTAATGCCATCTATGTGTCAGGCCGAGAAGTTTTCGAGACTACCCTCGTATTAAATGAAATTGCTTATCATAACTCTTATTGATTTACACATTCTTGCAAACTTAAATAATATGAAAAACGTTAACAACAACGACATCTCTTTTCTATTTATTTTTGACTCACTCTAATTTCTCATTTGTTGAAGTATATTGTAAGTTGAGTAAGATATTTTGAGTAACTGCAATAAAAACAAAATCATTCGCAATCTTATTTGCTAATATGATTAAAAGTAAAACTAAATTCAATATTTCTAATTTCATATTGCAATAAGATATTTATGATTTTGCATACTAACACCCACAAACGATTCAAGATTGATTGGAATAACATAGGCACTGGTAAATTCTATGGGCACGGCGCTACGTCTTGTGATTATTAATAAGTTCTTCTTCGCACTTTGTCCCAACACAAGCCATTCCATTTCAAATATATCGTTAATTAGTTGCAGTCCCTACGATCAAAAGCAGAAAACATTTGCTAAAATATAAATGAAGAAATTAATGGAATGCGAAGGGTTGAATACGCGCACCTTCAATTTGACTTCATTCCCGTACCAGCAATACAAGAAGATTTGTGTCAACATACACGACATGTATAAGCCTAATTCGATGAACTTTGCGCTTGTCTTGCTCAATTGATACATGGTGAAACATATCACTAATGTACTCACTATAAACTGAAAGGTAATAGTGAATCTGAACTTCTTATTCATCAAAAAGGCAAACCTAAAATTAATCAGATACTTCGTAATTTATATAATAACTTATTGACAAAACTAATCATAAATATTGACATACATAATAACAGAAAATTACGAAAAGCATATTTATGTTACTAGTAATAGTCCTAGTTTGGGACTTCTTTAATGCACTTCTTTATACGAATATTGTAAATACTGGGTGTATCATCGACATGCAGGTCAAAAAACGGATTGCCTATTAGTGTTCGAATAGTAATGCAAAGTTCATCGAGGAAATCACTCATTGATCTTATCGATAATATTTGCAATGTTTCCTGTTCTCAGTTAGGACGAGTACAACTAGTTTTGCACTGCGTTTGTAATAGTTTGTAATAGTTTATAATAGATTTAGGAGCTGAGCCACATTAAATTAAAAAAGTTTTCAAAAATGTGAAAATGAGAAATAAACATTATGGATTTAAGCAGAGTAAGAGTAATAATTAAAGGGATAAATAATATAACATATTTTCTTGTTTTATAATCTTTCAATTTTTTTTTGCATCCAGTAATTGTATGCTGAGCGCAACAGTAGATATTTTGAACACATTTGTAACTAATTACGTAAATATATTTCTATTTACTTAGATTTCATATATTAATGTTAATCATATATTAATTAATACCTTTCAGTTTTAAAATAATCAGTTAAACATATGTTACAATTTCATACGTTTTATGTAATAAATAATTTGTCATATCCATCTTGTACATTTTTATGTCCAGTAGCAATATTTTCACTAATAGCTTTGAGTGCTAGTATTCTCATTCATTTCAAGTAAATATACGCTTTAAAAATTGTAAGGAACGCGTATTCTAAACATTTTTTTATCAAAAAAAGTGAAAATGACTTCTGATTTGCTTATAAGCTACAAACGCTTCGAAAAACAAATAGATCCTATTTTCGATAAAAGAGATGACAAAATATTGGGTCTGGGAAAAAGTTGGTGGCGTTTTTCTAGTAAAATTTAACTGGTATTCTTATACCAGTGTGAAAATGAATTTATTTAAACCAAATATGCTCCATTATTATCGACAATGTTTCGCCATTTTTCGGGTAGAGCCATAATGCCATCGGTGAAGAACTTCTGTGGTTTCTGGTCGAAAAACTGAATCAAGTGGTTTTCACAGGCTTCTTTTGAAACCAGCTTAATTCCATTGAAAGAGTTCTGCAGAGATCGGAACAAGTGATAGTCAGAGGGTGCTATGTCTGGACTATACGTGGATGCATCAAAACTTCCCAACCAAACTCTCGCAATTTTTTACGGGTCATCAAAGAAGTGTGTAATCGGGCGTAGTCATGATGAAAGACAACACCTTTCCTATTATTCAATTCGGGCCGTTTTTTTTCAATTGCCTGGCGTAATCTCTCTAGTTGTCCACAGTAGAGTTGAGAGAATCAATGGTCTGACCAACTGGAAGTAGCTCATGATGGACGATTCTCTTCTAATCCCACCACACACACAGCATCACCTTTTTCGGCGTCAATCCTGGCTTCGCGAACGCTTGTGACGGTTCGCCATCCCTTGTCCACGATCTTTGACGCTTCCGATTGTCGTACGTGATCCATTTTTCATCACCGATTATGACATGTTTCAGAAATGGCTCGATTTCATTGCGTTTCAGCAGCGCATCGCAGATGTTAATTCGGTCTATCATGTTTTTCGCGCTCAACTCATGAGGAACCCATACATCGAGCTTCTTTTTGTAGCCAGCTTTGTGTAAATGGTTCAAAACAGTTTTGTGGTCAATGCCTAGCTCCATACCAATATCGACACTGCTGATATGCTTATCTTGCTGGACTTTTTCAAGAATTTCATCAGTTTTTTCAGTGATTAGACGACCAGAACGTGACTCATCTTTCACATTAACTGGTAATCAAAATTACCAGAACGAAAGCGAGCGACCTATTTTCGCGCAGCAGATTTTGATAAAGTACCTTCACCGTACACAGCACAAGTTTTTTCACAAGCCTGCGCAGCGTTCTTCCCTTTGTCGTAATAATATTGCAAAATATAGCGCAATTTTTCATTACTTTTCTTCATTTTCAAACGCAAACAACTTTCCAACCACTGCACCAATTTCGATGTTTATACATTCAAAGTAACGCTCGAAGTGTCATCTTTCCAACGAGCATTTAGTGGTGTCGCTGCGATCTGTGTTTCCTGAGTTATTTGCAATTGACGCCATCTATCGGGAAAAACGCCACGAACTTTTTCCCAGACCCAATTTCGTTCATATCTTACATTAGACCTTTAATGTTCTCGAAATACTATGGTGCATTTTTAGTTATAAAAGTTATTTATTTATAAATTTTTAGTTACTAGATTTAATAATCTAAAGTTTTCCATTATTAATATTAAATTATTTTGTGTGTTTATTTTATGTTTTATTTTATTGTTTCAATATTTTATAATTTTTATATTATTTTTTTTATTATTTTTTTATTATTTTATTATTTTGTTTATGCGGTGGGCATTACTTTCATTATTGTTTATAATGTTTAATATATTACGACACGTTGTATTTTAAGCAATTATTTAGCATTTTTATAATAAAATAAAATGTATAACATAGGTGAATCTTTGATTAATATTACATATTTACTTTAAAGTGACGACAAGCCTTTCTTCAGGTAAGATTGGCTGCTTATGTTTGTAACGGCCAAACTCCGCGGTTCGGTCATCGCTACGCGTTTTGCGCGGATAAGGCTCGTCGGAGTCCGAGTTCGATGAGGAGGAAAGCAGCGAGACGTCCGATAACAATGTAAATATGTTAGCTTTATTTGATACTTAAATGTGTACAAGAGTTCGGCCCCGAAGGCATTATCGCGGATTGCGTTCAGTAGGCGCGTCGGTATGGTACGGTGCGGTGCGGTGTGCGGTACACGCGGATTGATGGTCGGATAGGCCGCGCGATAGGCGGGGCCTATTGCGCGACGCGTGTAGACAGCGAAGACGGTAACAGTGCGGTGATAAGTCTCGACTCGCGACGCTGGGCGTCTCGAACAATTATCGCCCAATACCCGGCTCGCAATCGCTCGCGCAAACATGGTCGCCGGACCGGAAATTTCGACTTTCGGTCGAACGCACGCACGCGGGTCGCGAAAAACGCGGAAGGATTTCGTCCGTCGAAGCCGAAAACTCTCGACATAGAAGACGTACACACGTTCCCTTTTCCCTACGTTCGTGGCGGAGAGCGACCAAATGCTGCGGACACTCAGCGGAGACGGCGGACGCACCGTCCCGTGTCTTTCGTCGCTAGACGGATCGCCCAGAGGCTGAGTACGCTCAGCGGAGTTCGCCGACGGACGAACCCCTGGCTCGGAGCGGCGGGCGAAAGCTAGAGACCGTCGAGTGAACCGCTCGATTGAACACGCGCACGCACGAGCCTAGGAAGACAGGAGACGGCTAAGTGTCGAGGACGCTCGATCGAGATTGCGGACGTACAATCCCGTTTTCTTAGTCGTCGGTCGGGTAGTCGAAATACGGAGGGCAGAACGAAACAGTCCGGATCTTTTATCTATCGGCATGTGCTTCTAGATAGAACGGCGGTACGGAACGGTCTGCATGATTAGGAGCTCGATCGCCGCCGTCTCAAGGCCCATCTACAGTGGCTACAAGAATAAGGTTGTAAGCGTAAGCAGTAAGAAATGGACAAACCATAATCGATTATTCTTATAATAATGTCGGGCGAAGGACGGCGCTTTGTGCCACCTTAAGCGTTCCATTTCGCGCACGCTGTTGCTACCACGCACCGCCGTAATCATAATGGACCAACCGTAGTCGATTATTCTTATAATAATAATAATTGATTGTGGTTGGTCTATTTCTTAGAACCTTATTCTTGCAGCCATTGTAGATGGGCCTTTATAGTCGTACTCGGTACGACTGATACGGCAGAGATCGAGCGGCGCGCCAATCAGTGTGCGGCATAGCGGTGGCGTTTGATAGCGGCGACGCGCGTTAGCGGCGGCGCGCGTTAGCGGCGGCGCGTGATAACGGCGGCGCGTGATAGCGACAGTGCGTGATAGCGACAGCGCGTGATAGCGACAGCGCGTGATAGCGACAGCGTGCACGAAATAGAACATTTAGGGTGGCGCAAAGCGCCGTTCCTCAGTCCGACAGATGGTCTGTTGGACCGGTAGTAACGAGGTGCGGGTGTGCCTCGTTACATGCCAGTTACATCATGTTTTCATTAAACGATGCTCACCTTTTCCTAATATGTAATTAAAAGTTTCCAGAGTCGTCTTTGTGTATTAGAAAAACTTTTGTTCGTCTCTCTTGAGATCATCAAATAAATTATAGTATTCACTATCATTTCTTCTGCTTTTATTTATTTCGTGTATACCAAATCTTTTTCTTTGTATTTGTGGTATAATATTATCCAATAAAAAAAATCTTCATCGGATGAAGATATCTTTATTACAAGACATCAACTCAGAAACTGGCAGGTTTCCTGCTTTAACACGCGTCTAGTGTATCCTTCTCAAGTGTCAATAGCCCGCGCCTATCGACACTGGTTATTGGAAAGCAGGAAACTTGCTTCCTTTGTGTTCGTATCCTAAGGCAAGACTTATCAACGGCTAAAGACATATTCGAATTGATCTTGCCTTCGAATTGATCAGTGAACGATCTTGTCTTAGTTGGTCGGATTAGTGATCGGTCTTGCTTTAATTAGCCGGATCAGTGATCGGTCCTGCCTTAGTTGGCCGGATTAGTGGTCATTGTTGCCTTAATTGGCCGGATCAGTGATCAATTTTGCCTTAGTTGGGCGGATCAGTGATCGGTCTTGCCTTAACTTTCAAGCCTCATAACTCGGAAAGTACTCAATGAAACGTAACTTTATTATAGCGTTTTAGAAAGTCTACGAGATAAGCTACAAGAATATTTAATAAAAAGTAAGGGTTTCTATTTATTACAAAAATAGTAATGACTGACCTGATTTTGACAGGATCACTCAAGGTCAAGTGCACATTTCGATCATGTGTCCTCCTTCAAGCCATGCAACTTTCGTTCGAAAAATTTTTTAATAAAATCATCGATTTGCGAGATAATCGACCATATCACTTGGAATACCCTGTATAGTATATAAAACTTATATAAATATTTCTGTGGTGAGCAAAGAACACCACCGGACGGATCGATACAGCGATCGATACTGACATAGGTCAAATCACGGGAGAACGAGTTACCCACGCCGTAGCAAGCCTCGCCGCCGCGTCGCTAGGCGGCAAGTCATTGACCTCCCGCGACTCGGAATTAAAAGTCCGACCAGCGCATTTAAAAGGCGCGCACTGCAGGTGGTAGAGCTGCCAGATTCGCTGCATTGCCACCAAGCCCGGTACATGGAGGGGGAACGCATGCACGTGTTGAGACGTGTCCGTGTGCGCTCGGCGTTCGGCAAGCTTCGCGTAGTAGAGAAGGAAAGCGGTATCTGCGCGATCTCTTTCTTTCCTATAGTATAGCCATAGCTATAACACACCGCTAGCTTCAAGATACGAGTTGACTCGCCGACGATATTTTCGCGCGGGCGAGAGAAAGAGTGAGAGAGAGAGCAATAATTTGAACAATCCACTCTTGGCCAACATGTACGTCTTCTTCGCAAAAGAATAATGTTATGTTACGGAAAAATAACTTATGTTAAATTAAGAGATAATTTATTATTAGCACACAAGAAATATAAAAATAAATTATGTAATTTAATTTTTAAATTATTCTAACACTGCAATCTGTAACGTGCTAAACAAATAAATATAATGAAATAGAGCAAATAATTTTGCTATTATATGCATTAACCTAATGCACATTTATTTTGTAAATAATAACGTACATATTGTTGTTCAACGGAAACCGCGAGAAGGAGATGGTCTCTTCCGTCAAGAAAATGTAAATGTATGTTCCATCAATGTAAATGAAAAAAATGTTTTCTCTATTATAACTATTTCATATATAGAATAATTTTGATATATATACACATATTAAAAAAGAACATACGAGGGTTGTCCCAAAAGTGATGCACAGCACGCTCTAGCGGGCGTTGTAGGCAACATAGACAGCTGATCGAAGCGTCAGTATGTAAATTGAAGTCTCAAGAGCATGTTGGTATCATATGGTAGTGGGATTCGTTTAAAGGAAAAATGCCAAAAATTCGGAAAGACAATAAGAACAGTCCGTCGGGTCGGATTTCAGCAACAGAGCAACGTGCGTATATTCGCATCGACACAGTGCGCGGAAAAAAGTGCCCGAAATTCATGCCGCGTTAAAAGAAGCGTGTGGAAGGTTTACTGTGAATCGTAGCACAGTACCAGAGGTGGCCACACGAAGTTTCGTGAAGGTCGAACAAGCATCGAAGACGATCCGCGCGCGGGGCGGCCGTCTACTGTAACAGCTGACAACACAAACGCTTCAATCATTGCAACGTTGCTCGACGAAGACCGGAGAATCACAGTAAGAGAAATCGAGGCGGAGACAGGAATCTCGAAACCGAGCGCGCATCGCATTTTAACACAGGTGCTAGGCAAACGAAAGATGGCGGCGCGGTGGGTACCGCACTTCTTGTCAGCCGAACAAAAAGCAACACGTTCGGAAATTGCGCACGAATTGCTTGTTATGAAAATGAAGGTGAAACCTTCCTCGATCGCATCATCGTAATTGATGAAACCTGGATACGTGACTTCGAGCCCGAAATGAAGCCTCAGAGCGACGTTTGGAAGAGTCCAGGTTCGCCGAGAGCATAAAAAGATCGTCGCCAACAGTCGAAAATGAAAGAAATGATGATCTTTGCCTACTATAAACAGGGCGTAATCGCCACAGATCGAGTTCCGAGGGATACTAGTGTCACTGGAGCGTACTACAAAAATTTCCTTCAGAATGTCTTGCGCCCAAAAATCCGTAACTGCGTCCAGGAATGTTGCAAAGTGGTGTGTTAATTTTGCACGAGAATGCGTGCCCACACATCGGTGCACCGGTCATCGAACTTGTCGAAAAATATGGCTGGGAACGGCTCCGCCACCCAGCTTATAGTCCTGATCTGAGCCCATCTGACTTCGATCTCTTTCCCAAGATGAAGGAACCCCTTGGGGGGGTGCGTTTTCCGACGCTGGAAGTGCTCCGAAGAGAAATGACCCGACAGATTCGGATGCTCAATAAGAAAGGGACGCTGAACGGAATTTAAGCACTTCTGCGCCGCTGGCAAGCGTACATTGTTAAAGGAGGAGATTATATGGAAGGCCTGTAATCACTTGTACCTTCTTCAATAAATATTTTTTAAGTTAGAGCCAACTGTGCATTATTTTAGGACAACCCTCGTACTTTTTTATTAGGAGTACAAATAAGTTTCCGCCGTTTTCTATCAAAAATTAGGAATTTATTGTGAAAGAACGGTACATTACGTTTTATTCAAAGTATTGTCCACACTAGCCACTACTTTTTCCCACCTTTCTGGCAGCATTCGGATACCACGTCGGAAGAACTCTTCATCTTTTGAGGCTATCCACGAATCGACCCAATTTTTAGTATCTTCATATGATGTAAAGCGCTGCTTAGACAGGGCATGTGCCATCGACCGGAAGAAGTGATAATCGAAAGGGGCAATGTCTAGTGAATACGGCGAGTGGGGTAGGACTTCCCAATTAAGTGTTTCCAAATAGGTTTTGACCGGTTTTGCAACATGTGGCCGAGCGTTGTCATGTAGGAGAATAATTTTGTCGTGTCTGGAGTAGTAATGGGCGCGATTTTCCTTGAGTGCTCAGCTCAATCTCATTAATTGTGTTCGGTAGAGAGCTCCAGTGTTGGTTTCGCTCGGTTTGAGCAACTCATAATACACGACACCAAGCTGATCCCACCAAATACACAGCATGAGTTTTTTCCATGAATATTCCGTTTGGCTGTCGATGTTGAAGCATGGTCAGGTGGTTCCCATGATTTTCTCTTCTTTGGGTTATAGTAGTGAATCCATTTTCCATCACCAGTGACTATACGATGCAAAAAACCCTTCCTTTTATGCCTGGCAAGCAGCATTTCACACGTACAAAATCGGCGTTCAACGTCTCTCGACTTCAGTTCATATGGAACCCAATTTCCTTGTTTTTGAATCATTCCCAACGATTTTAAACGATGTGAAATTGCTTGTTCAGTCACTTCTAATGTAAGTGCAAGTTCTTCTTGCGTTTGGCACAAATCTTCCTCCAATAATGCTTCCAATTCCGTGTCTTCGTACACTTTCGGCCTTCCATTACTTTTCTTCCGTTCTTTGTCTTCCACGTCAAACTCACCGTTTTTAAACTTTTGAAACCACTAACGACAACTTCTCTCACTTAAAGCAGTCTCACCATATGTTTCTACAAGCAATCGATGCGCCTCAGCTGCAGATTTCTTCAAATTAAAGAAGTTGTTCCGTACGGCACGTGATGCCGTACGGAAAGTCGGTGCGAATCGACGCTGCAGGGCGGGCGGCCTGGTTCCCGGAGGGTTCTCGCTAGCGGTGGGGGACGCGGGTTCTCGCGAGCGAGCGCGCGGGACTCCCGGTAGGTCCAACCGCGGCCGCTACACGGCGTGGCTCGCGATTCCGTTGCCCGCAGGCAAGATTCGGCCGCCCGACTATATAACCGGGCGCGCCGTGCCTTGTCTTCGCCTTGCCTGATCTTCTGCCTGGCCAGTTTTTTGGTAGCAAGTTGTGCTACGTGTTCGTGCACCGATGTACTGGTGATTACCGACGCGCTTTCTAGGCTTCCTAGGGCGATCGGTCTTCCGTCTTAGATTCGAACCACTGCTCTGTATACTCTGCTGAGTTGAAGGTGGCGCCAATACACCCTGCTGGGTCGAGGCTAATGGTTCGAATCTCGTTTTATGATCTCGGGCTCACGGCATTGCCGTGATCTTAGGAGCGACTCGACCGTCTCCTCGGAGCTTCGAGCTCCCTTGTTGCCCAAGCGTCTGTAGGGGGCCTTGGCGATTTAGGAGCGGCTCAGTCGCCGTCCTAGAGCGTTCGCGCTCCTTCTTCCAAATGTCCGTTGGGAACTTGGCTTTCTTGCAGGAGCGACTCGGTCGTCCTGCGAGCCGGAGCTCTCGGAGCTCAATTCCCACGCGTCCTCGGGACCGTGGCTGACTATTGGCCGTTAAGTCCGGAAGGGCAGGCCATCCGAAACGACGGAGGTCGTTTCGTCACATGTACTTGACGTTGCTCCGGGCGCCGCGCGCCGTTGACGTCACGGACGTGTGTCCTGCGGGATTTTGCGTTAGCAAACGTTGTTTCGCTTGTACATAGTTGCGTCGTTCTCCTATGTTGTTCCACTTGCGTTTTATTGCGTTACTTCCGCGACATTCTATTGCGTCTACTGCGTTCGTTGCGTTTTACATCGGCGTCTCCGCATCATTGCGTGCGTGTCCTCTCTGTCTATCGCTTCGCCGCCGTCCCTGAGCGCGTATGTCGGCGCGCGGTGGTGCGTGTTCAGCAGGGTCTGTGGTCGCCTCACGGGGCCCCAGCCCTCAATCAGGACGACCGGTCGGTCGCCGAGCGGACTCGAGCGAACCTGGACACAGGCGGACGTCGCTCTGCGATCCCTTCTTACCAGCCAGCTCTCCGGAGCTATCGTATGTTCGGTCTTGTTCCGAACATAAATTTGGTCCTTCGAGCCGGGTCGGGAGCGGTAGTCTCGGACCTGGGTCGAGTTGTTTAGCTCGGGCTCCGTTATGTCGTCAGAGGAGGATATATTTGGGCTCATCGAGCTGCAATACGACCGGCAGCACCGCATGGAGCGGCTGCTGGACAATGCACGCAAGTCCGGTCAACTGAAGTCAGTTGGCGGGTTGACGTCTCGTTTGCAGGTTCTCGACACGTACTGGGCTCAGTTCCAGGATGATCATCGCACGATTCGAGCCTCTCGCCTCAAGACCGTGCGAGAGTCGGATTACGTGCGACAGGATGCCTGTGGCACGGTGCAGGAAGTTTACATTGCACAGCGCGCAGAAATCCAAACCCTGCTCGATGGGTTGAGGGTTCAGGAGGCTGAGTCGGCTGCTCACGCGGTCCCCGCGCAGGCGATAATGCCCGAGGCTTCGTTGCCTCGCATTCCCATTCCGAAGTTCGAAGGGAAGTTTGACGAATGGCGCAATTTTAAGGATCTCTTCGAGTCCTTAATAGTCGATAACCCGTCGTTAGCATCAGTTCACCGGATGCATTACTTAAAACAGAGCGTCTCGGGAGAGCCCGAACGTCTACTCCGGCACTACGGCGTCGCTACTGGCTCGTTTGAGCAAGCGTGGAAAGCGCTATGTGCACGGTACGATAACCATCGTTTGCTTGTGGATCAGCATTTCGACGCTTTCCGGGATATTGGCCCGATACGCCAAGAGAGCGTCTCCGAGGTCCGGAGGCTGTTAGATCGAGCCAGCGAGCTGCGGGCCGCCTTGCGCCTTCTTGAGCAGCCAGTAGACGCTTGGGACGTGATATTGGTCAATATCCTCCGTTCCAAGCTAGACTCTGCTACGCGGCGGGCCTGGAAGATGGCCACCGCGAATCGGCGCGAGCCGCTGAGCTGGGACAGACTGGTGGTCTTCCTGGACGAGCGTCGGGTCGCGCTCAAGGCGGTTGCGGTGGTTCCGTCCCTTGGGGGCGGCCCCCGCGCCTCGTCGACTTCCGGGCAGACTGGCAGGCGCTCGCTGCATCTGCATCGGCCCGGGCCGACCCGTTGCGCTGAGTGCGGTGCTGAGCACGGACTCAGAGAGTGTTCGGCCTTTAGGGATCGTCCGGTCTCTTCGCGACAGGCAAGAGTGCGCGCCCTCGGGTTGTGCTTCAACTGCCTCGGTCCGTCGCACCAGGCGGCCGCTTGCCCGTCTAAGGGTCGATGTTGGGAGTGCGGAGAGCCGCACCATTCACTTCTGCACTCCGCTCGGCAGTCTCCGGTCCCGACGTCGGAGGAAGGGCCGGTAACGGCGCATGCTGCGACACGGATGCCCGCGCAGCGAGTTCTCTTGGCCACGGCCAGGGTTTGTCTGATGGCGTCCAATGGGCGATCCACTGTGGTTCGGGCGCTCATTGACCAGGGCTCTGAGGTGAGCCTGGTGTCCGAGGCGGTTGCGCAGCGGCTGCGCGCATTTCGTCGATCGGTGGATGTAGGGCTGTCGGGCATCTCGGTGGGACCCCCTCAGCGGGTACGTGCCAGCACGTCATTACGGCTTAAAGCAACTGCTGGCGTCCCGTTCTCCACGACAGTGGAGGCCCTCATCCTACCGCGACTTACGGCGTACCACCCCCCGCAGATGGCGCAGCTGACGGGGAAGTGGGCGCATTTGAAGAGCCTTCAGTTGGCGGACAGTTCCGATAATGTTGAACCTATCGAAGCGATACTTGGGGCGGAAGTGTTCGCCGAGATATTGGTGCCTGGCATTCGCCGAGGACCACGGGGGGCTTCCATCGCACAGCGTACCCGCTTGGGGTGGGTGCTGTTCGGGGCTCTCCCATCTACAGCCAGAACGGGCAGCTCTCATTGTCATATGGTGCAGTATGCGTCGGACAACATGGCAGATCTCTTGCGACGCTTTTGGGAGGTGGAGGAGATTCCGGTTGCTTCCCCGCTCTCTGGGGAGGAGTGGGCTTGTGAGAAGTATTTCGTGGCGTCCTTTCGGCGCCACGCTGACGGCCGCTATCAGGTGCGGTTGCCTTTCAGGAGCCCTCCGACTGAGCTGTCTCTCGGCGACACACGGCGGATTGCCACTGCCTCGATGCACCGCTTGGGGCGGCGATTGCTTCGGCAGCCTTCTTTGGGCAAGGCCTATCGCGACTTTCTTGACGACTATGAACGACAGGAGCATATGATCCGCCTGCCACTCAATGTCGAACAACCACGGCCCTCTTACTTTATTCCACATCACCCGGTGATTAAACAAGCCCTCGAGCTTAAAGTTAGAGTGGTGTTCAACGCTTTGCAAGCGTCCACCAATGGCCAGTCGTTAAACGACTTGGTGCATGTGGGGCCGCGCTTGCAGCGAGAACTAGGCGAGATCCTACTTGCTTGGCGCATGCATCGAGTGGCCTTCACTGCGGACATCGAGCAAATGTTTCGACAAGTTCGGATGGCTCCGGAGGATCAACACTTCCAACAGATTCTCTGGCGAGACAGCCAGACGCGGGCAATATCGGTGCACCGGTTGACCACGGTCACCTATGGCATGGCGTGCGCTCCTTATCTGGCCATCCGCACGCTGCACCAGCTGGCGCTGGATGAGCGGGAACGTTATCCCCGGGCAGCAGACTTACTCTGTCGACAAACCTATGTCGATGATATTCTTGCGGGGGCAGATGACCTTGAGGAGGCACGCCGTCGACAGCATGAGCTGAGAAACTTGCTCATGGCGGGCGGGTTCCGACTCAGGAAGTGGGCGACCTCTCATCCGGAACTCTTGTCCGGTGTCCCGGAGGGGGACCGCGAGCCCTTGGTACCACTGCCGGACCCTGGAGCCGTGGGGGCATCTGTGCTGGGGGTCGGTTGGATTCCGGTCGAGGATGCCTTCTGCTTTTCGGTCAACTCCGGGGCTCCGTCGGCCCTCTCGAAGCGTGGTATCTTGTCAGTCGTTGCCTGATTATACGACCCCCTGGGCTGGTTAGGACCTATGGTAGTATTAGCGAAGATACTCCTTCAGGACTTATGGTTGGCCGGGCTCGGTTGGAACGAGGCTCTCCCTCCTGCGCTCTCGCGACGGTGGGACGCCTTTAGCACCGGGCTCGCGGAGATTTCCGCAATCCGAGTTCCTCGTTGGACCGGATGGTCGCCTACTGAAGTGGAGACTCAGCTTCATGGCTTCTCGGACGCCTCGGAACGGGCGTACACCGCCGTCATCTACTTACGGGCTCGACGGTCCGATGGGACCACCCGCGTCGTTCTATTGGCGTCCAAGACTAGAGTCGCCCCACTGAGGCGGGTATCGTTGCCCCGCCTGGAGCTGTGCGGTGCGCAGCTGCTCTCGCGGCTCATGAAGGCTACTGTGGAGGCGCTCGGTTGTGGTGAGGCCCCCTCGGTTTGTTGGACCGACTCCTCTGTCACGCTCCATTGGATTACAGGGCATCCATCTCGATGGACAACCTTTGTCGCCAATCACGTCTCGTACATTCACGAGAGCCTCCCGCAGGCCTCGTGGCGGCATGTCCCGTCCGGCGACAATCCTGCGGATTGCGCCTCTCAGGGTTTGTTGGCCGGCGGGCTACGAGAACATGCCCTTTGGTGGCGTAGCCTCTCCTGGCTTGTCGGGGACCCGGCGGGCTGGCCGGGTCTGCTTCGTGTCGCGAGCGACCAAAGTATTTACGAGGAGAGGCGCATGGTTCACGTGGTGGCCGTGAACCCGGAGGACTGGTCCGGTGTCCTCCGATCATGCTCCTTCCGCAAGGCCATCCGCGTGATGGCCTATGTGCAACGATTTCTGCGAATCCCGCGGGTCGGTGGACCCGTAACGGCGGACGAGCTGCGTGAGATTCGGCTGCGCCTGCTGCGGATTACGCAGCACCGCTTCTTCGCGGAGGATTTGGGCCGTCTGAAGCGGGGGGGAGCGTTGATGGTGGGATCGGCGTTGCGGCCACTCAACCCCACGATAGACGAGCCTCTTGCGGGTGGGGGGCCGCCTGCAATTCTCAGCGTTACCGATCAATACGCGGCAGCCGGTCCTGCTGCCTCGACGCTCTCGACTCACGACTCCCATTGTCCGAGATGCACATGAACGCACGCTGCACGGAGGAGTGCAGCTCACGTTACTCACCTTGAGGCGCGAATTCTGGATCCCGGCTGGGCGCTCTTTCATGCGCCAGGTGATACGGGGCTGTGTGCGCTGTACACGCCATAAGGGCACCCCGATCACCCCGTTCATGGCTCCGCTGCCTCGCGATCGCGTATTGCCCCATCCACCATTCTCTACCACCAGAGTGGATTACGCTGGACCGGTAGCAGTGCGTCCATCTCGAGGACGCGGACGTACCACCTCCAAGGAATACATTGCTGTCTTCGTCTGCTTCAGCACGCGCGCTATCCACTTGGAGGTGGTAAGTGATTATTCGGCCCCGGTCTTCTTAGCGGCCTTTCATCGTTTCACGGCCCGGCGGGGCCTGCCGGTTACAGCATACAGCGATAGGGGGACCACATTCGTGGGTGAGGACCGCGAGCTGCGAGCACAGTTTGAGGCGGTCATAGCGTTGGCAGGACCGATCGTGGCCTTCTTGAGTAACCAGGGCATCACCTGGAAGTTTATACCTCCTTCGGTTCCGCATTTCGGCGGACTGTGGGAGGCCGGAGTGCGGTCCGTTAAGTATCACCTGCGACAGGTAATAGGAGAGCAGGCACTGGTCTTTGAGGAGTTCGCCACTCTCTTGGCTCGCATTGAGGCCTGTCTCAACTCCAGGCCACTATGTCCGTTGACGGACGACCCACAGGACTTGGAGGCCCTGACACCGGGGCACTTCCTGATTGGGCGTCCGCTGTTGTGTCCCCGAGCGGTCACTCGGGGACGTTCAGGTCGCGAGGTTGAGCCGCTGGCAGCTGCTCCAATATATGACGGAGCATCTTTGGGAGCGCTGGTCCAGAGAATATCTAGCCAAGCTGCAGGTCCGGGGCAAGTGGCTCGTCGCTTCTCGTCCGTTGGACGTCGGCGACCTCGTGATTTTGGTGGATAACCGATTTCCTCCTACTCGGTGGCCTCTCGGCCGCATCACCGGCTTGTTGCCTGGCCCAGACGGGCACGTCCGCGTGGCGCAGGTGCGCACAGCGGACTCGACCTTGACCCGGCCACTGGTTAAGCTGGTGAGGCTCCCTGTCGATCCGAAGGGGGCTCACCCCAATCAACCTTCAACATGAAGGTGTTCAACAGGTCCTCACGGACGCCAGGCCGCGAGTGCGGCCTTCCTGGTGGAGTTTGTTCCACTAAGCTGACTTCCGTCGCCGCGACGGAGGCGGGCGGTATGTTCCGTACGGCACGTGATACCGTACAGAAAGTCGGTGCGAATCGACGCTGCAGGGCGGGCGGCCTGGTTCCCGGAGGGTTCTCGCTAGCGGTGGGGGACGCGGGTTCTCGCGAGCGAGCGCGCGGGACTCCCGGTAGGTCCAACCGCGGCCGCTACACGGCGCGGCTCGCGATTCCGCTGCCCGCAGGCAAGATTCGGCCACCCGGCTATATAACCGGCTATATAACGGGCGCGCCGTGCCTTGTCTTCGCCTTGACTGATCTTCTGCCTAGTCAGTTTTTTGGTAGCAAGTTCTGCTACGTGTTCGTGCACCGTTGTACTGGTGATTACCGACGTGCTTTCTAGGCTTCCTAGGGCGATCGGTCTTCCGTCTTAGATTCGAACCACTGCTCTGTATACTCTGCTGAGTTGAAGGTGGCGCCAATACACCCTGCTGGGCCGAGGCTAATGGTTCGAATCTCGTTTTGTGATCTCGGGCTCACGGCATTGCCGTGATCTTAGGAGCGACTCGACCGTCTCCTCGGAGCTTCGAGCTCCCTTGTTGCCCAAGCGTCCGTAGGGGGCCTTGGCGATTTAGGAGCGACTCAGTCGCCGTCCTAGAGCGTTCGCGCTCCTTCTTCCAAATGTCCGTTGGGAACTTGGCTTTCTTGCAGGAGCGACTCGGTCGTCCTGCGAGCCGGAGCTCTCGGAGCTCAATTCCCACGCGTCCTCGGGACCGTGGCTGACTATTGGCCGTTAAGTCCGGAAGAGCAGGCCATCCGAAACGACGGAGGTCGTTTCGTCACATGTACTTGACGTGCTCCGGGCAATGCGCGCGCCGTTGACGTCACGGACATGTGTCCTGCGGGACTTTACGTTAGCAAACGTTGTTTCGCTTGTACATAGTTGCGTCGTTCTCCTACGTTGTTCCACTTACGTTTTACTGCGTTACTTCCGCGATATTCTATTGCGTCTATTGCGTTCGTTGCGTTTTACATCGGCGTCTCCGCATCATTGCGTGCGTGTCCTCTCTCTCTATCGCTTCGCTGCCGTCCCTGAGCGCGGTGCGTCGGCGCACGGTGGTGCGTGTTCAACAGGGTCTGTGGTTGCCTCACGGGGCCCCAGTCCTCAATCAGGACGACCGGTCGGTCGCCGAGCGGACTCGAGCGAACCTGGACGCAGGCGGACGTCGCTCTGCGATCCCTTCTTACCAGCCAGCTCTCCGGAACTATCGTATGTTCGATCTTGTTCCGAACAGAAGTAAATCAAAAGTTCCCGCAAATAACGCTTATTCGGAACAAAACTTGACATTTTCGCACAAAAAAAATTATGTGATGCTGATACGGAGTAACTAATATTTCAATATTATGTTGTTACCAGATGTCCAAACTTACGCTATTACGTTTTACATTTGACAATTTCAACATTACCTTCTGGTGGGGCCATCTTTGTCAAACAGCGGAAACTTATTTGTACTCCTAATATATATAGGGTGTTCGCTAATTAGCTGCCAACCCGAAGTGAAGGTAGATTAGGTTAAGACAAACATTTTCTAAGAATATAGATAGACAAGAGAATAGATAGAAAGGATAGACAAAATAAATACAAAAAGATAGACGTAAAATATAGAAAACTAATGGACAGGGAACAAAAGGCAGAGGACAGAATAAAGGATAGAGGAAAGAACCCAGTAAGCAAAATGCTAGCAGATTGCGCGCAGATTGACGCCAATTTCGATTAGATCTCCACATCAAAACCATAGCCATCCTCATTAGGCTCGTGTTTTGTCGACAGGACGTGTGTGACAGGCCGTACGAGCAGATTGTCGGCAGAAACCGAGCAGGTCCTGCTGCCAAACTACGCGTATAATCTGCGCGCTGAGTTTGCTCGGTTTCTGCCGCCAATCTGCCGTCAAATTACTACAAGTCTTGCGCGGTTATTGCTACAAATCTGCCGTCAAATATCCGACAGCAGGATCTGGCGCATATTGACCGCAGATTGGCGCCAAAATTTGATATAACAGATTCTGCGTTAAATTTGTTGCCTATTTGCCATCAAATTATGATAGCAGGCTTTGTTCGAAATCTACTCGCGCAGGTTTGGCTATCTGGGAACATAGAAAAAGAAAAAGACACTAGAAATTCCAAATAATTTTTGACAGTTTAGATTTTTTAATTAATATTTTGCTTAATAGTAGGTTCTGTTAAAGGTGGAATAAATGAAATAAATTTTTGTTTCACAATAAAGAAACAGCACACACAAGTCGTGCGTTAACAACTCAGAAAATTTCAAAGTCAGACTTTTACTATACAAAAACAATATACTACATTAAAACGTTGAAACAGTCAAATATAACTCGGTATTTCTACTGATTAACCGGAAAAAAGCGTACACATGCTTTACGTAATATAATATTAAGAATAGTACATATACACTCAAACGCAAAAAACCCGGTACACTAAAAATTTGGGAAAAAATTACAAAATTTCAAATGATCGTAACTTGGTAAATAATGAAGATACAAATATGCGCAGAAATGCAAAATGAAGCTTGAAACGTCCTCTTTAAGAATATCTGAATGGCAATTATGCTCGGCCATTTTTTTCAAAATGGCGGATGATAAAGTGAGAGGATGCAAAATTGATAATCAAAGGTCCGTGTTTGCGATGGTGCATGGTGTGCATCAGGTATCGCAGCGTAATGGGACCAAATGCACATGAAAGTATAGAGTGTTATCTTGAAAATGCTACTTTATCGAGCTCGATGTGATCATTTTTCACTGAGTTGTTCCAAATTTTGCTAAAAATGCGGTTTTCTTGTTAAATTTGCATAATTCAGTGAATAAGTATCGCATCAAGCTCTATAACGAAGTATTTTAAAGAAAACATTCTATACTTTTAGGTACTTTTCGTCCCATTGAGCTGCGACACTTACTTTGCTCCATGCGCCGTCGCACGCTCGAACCTTTTTTTAGCAACTTTTCATGTTCTCCTTTTTATCACCCGCCATTTTGAAAAAATATCGTTGCGCACAATTTCGATAGATCTTTCGAAAAGTACGATTTCAAAGCTTTCAAACCGTTTTTGAAATTTGCTGCTAGGATATTTAGGTGTCGAGATATTCAATTTCGAATTTGCAACAAATGTCGATTCAGCGAGGCATAAGGGGCTAAGAGGCTCTGCGGTTCGTTTGGCTCTTTCATAATTTCAATAGCTGTGTTCATGTTTCTCTATATAATAATTCACATAACCTTCACAATATATTCAATGATTTGCATTTATTATTTTGAAAGCTAGGGAAATGAAAGTAAAATTCAATTTAGGTTCTTCATTTTGCGTAATCGATATTACGTAATAAAGATGAATTGCGTTTTAAGATACTGCTGTCATTAGTTCAAATTATGGTTGTAAGTCTTCCCAATATAAACCGCATGGAGTTTTACTGGTAGGAAAAGTCCCATTGTATGTTGTGTGTGTGTGTGTGTGTGTGTGTTTGTATACCACAAGGATAAGGACCCCGTGGTTCGTCAGCTCCACAGTATTTCAAGATTTCACACCCTCCCTGTGGAGTGTGTGTGTGTGTGTGTGTGTGTGTGTGTGTGTGTGTGTGTGTGTGGTGTTACAGCAGAGATAAGAACCCCGCAGTTCGTCACTCCTGCAGTAATTAATGACTCCAAACCCTCTCTGCTGTGTGTGTGGTGTGTGTGTACTAATAGTACGTATGGGTATGACTGCCTCGTGCGCGTATTACCTCATTCATACGATCAGGCATACTCCTTATTAGTCTT